GGGGGGGGGGCGGTCCGGCCATGCCATGTGGGAGGCTGAGTCAGGAGGGTCCCAGGTGGGAGCCTAGGCCGGGCAACTGGAGCACCTGCGAGCCTTTATCCTGAAATAGCGGGTGGAAGGGCGCGGTGCAGGCCCCCAGGACCCCCGGGGGGCTCACGGCTGCTGCGAAAGTGGGGTGCTGCTGCGGCTGGGGCTGGGGGACGGGAGGCGGCCACGCTGGAGGAGGCAGCCCACGGGAGAGCCCGGGAGGCCCGCGCCCCGCGGTCGGCCGTGACCTCTGCTCTTTGTTCCTCCGACAGGGCAAGGAGACTTCGACCTGGCTGACGCGCTGGACGACCCCGGTGAGCGCCGCGACTCAGGGCAGCGATCGCCGGGCGGGGCGCACCAGGGGCCCATGCTGGGGCCTCTTTGTCCTTGTGTCCCACGCCGACTGGCAGGGTCGGAAGGACAGTTGGGGAGGTGGGAGGCAACAAGGAGGAGGAGAGAAACAAGGGGGAATGCGCGGAGCCTCCCCCGCCACCTGCCTGGCCCTTCCTTCACACCCCCGAACTCCTATGCAACCTCCACCGCCCCAGACCCACATGCTCCCGTGTCCCTGGAATCCTCACGTGGGCTCTGACCGTGCATGCGCCTTGATTCCACCCCCCATAGCCCTGCTCGCCGCGTCAGGGCACACCTGAGAGAGCTTGGGGACACCTAGAACTGAGCCGCCCTGTCCCGCGTTCCCCGTGTCACACATTTTGGGGATTTCAGTGCACACAACTGAACATATTCAACCCTCTATTCACCTACGTCCCTGCCTCTGACGAGCTTGTCGCCTTTTCTGGAGCTGCACAGAGTAGGGAGAACATGTAGGGCTGTCTCTCTCTTCCTGGCTTATCACCCAACTCGATGTTGTCCACATCCACACATTTTGTTACAAGTGAGGAATTGTCATTCTTCGTGGCTGCATAATACTCCATTGTGTATATAGACCGTTCCCTTTATATGACCATTTCAGCATGTTTAGGAGTTTGCGCTGCCATTTTATGCACGTTTTTTTAAAAATTAGGAGCCTTTGTTGGAGTAGCCGACGCTTCTGGGGTACTGACCGGAATTGTCTTTCTTTTATTCACAGAGCCCACCAAAAATCCACACTCGGGTGAGTGACGGGAGCTTGCCTGCCTGAGATACCTCAGCCCTGCTGTCTTTTCAGGGTTGGGTAGAGTCACTTTGAGAGCTCACGATTGCAGGGCGGACGTGCGTCACGTGGGCAAGTGAGGTGGCAACCAAGGTGGCAGCACGGGGAGGGGTTGGATGGATCGCCCAAAAAACAAGAAAGAAAAAGGCACAGGCCAGGCGAGGTGGTGCCCACATGGGCCATCCTGGCACTCGGCAAGCTGAGGCAGGAGGGTCGCTGTGAGTGGGAGGCCCCGTCTCATAAAGACAAAAATAAATATAGCGAATTGACCCCACGCCTGTCCAGTTCCGACCCACAGTAGGACCTTAAATCCACGCTCCAGGAGAGTTTGTACGGCATGCTCACCGCGTCGTTACGTTCATGACAGCGAAAAGGCAAGGCCAACCTGCACTGCCACTAGGGGGTGAAGGGCCAGACAGACACATGTGTAGCCACGTGGTGGAATACTATGTAGCCCTGAAAAGGAACAGGTGTCTGGCACCTGCTCCAACATAGAGAAATGTCAGGTACTTGACTGTCACAGACAGCAGATTCGAAGGACATGTGCAGGAGAATTATGTCCACATAAAATGGTCAGGGAAGGCGCAGCCACGGGGGCAGAGCGTGGACTGGTGGCTGGGCTCCGGGGCTGGCGCTGGCCGTGGGGACTGAGCTCTGTTGGGGGCGGGGTCTGCTTTTGATGTGCTGGGAGGAGGGCTGCACCGCCTTGTCCGCAGGCTGCAAGCTCCTCAAGTATTTTTATTTTTATTTATTTTATTTTATTTTTTTGCCGAAACCGGGGATTGAACTCAGACCCTTGCGCTTGCCAGGGAAGCGCTTATTTTACTCAGCCGTCTCCCCGGCCTCGATCCTCAATTATTTGTGTAAAATTGAGTGTGTTTTGAATCCTGACCAAATCCACGGGGAAGGGCGCGTCCGCTCTGCGTGAATGCCGCGAGCAAGCTAAGCGGTGTGAGCCAGGAGGGCCTGGCGGGCCGCGGTCCCAAATCGCAGTGAGGTAGCGGGGCTCCGCGGTGCGGAACGGGGCCCGGGGTCCGGCAGTGCTGGGGCTTGGTACTGGGCTCAACCCCCGGATGGTTAAGAAGGAGGAAAAAGAAACAGAACCAAACACAAGAACAAAGAGTAAATACTACAAAATACCGAAGAGAAATATTAGTAAGAATTACAAAAATATTAAGAATAAGCAATAGATATGACCAAGAAAATATCGTTAAGGGTTAGTAACGTTAAAAATCAAGAAACTATTAACAGAATACATATTATTTGGAAAATACTGTTAAGAATGAAATGAAGAATTAAAATTGTTCATGTTAAGAGAATGTTAGCTATAATAAGACTTAATATAAAGAAAGCATCTGTGGTCAGCATCTGCGCTGCGAGCTCAGGCTCGGAGCGGCCTCTTTACCTCCCTTAGCATCGCGGTCTCCGGGCACATCCGTTTTCCTGCGCGGGACTCCAGGGTATCCTTCTTCAGGGCAGCGTAGTGCTCCGCGGCGTGTGAATTGCACATCTTTTGCCCAGGGCTAGGGGTGGTGATGGCTCAGCCGGCGGGGAATTGGGGTCTCCTTGCTGGGCTCAGGCCGGGGCTGCTGGGGGCGGCCTGGGTGTTGTCACCCGTGCTGACGTGCTGTCCCTCTCTCCACAGGTCTCTTCCCGCAACCAAAGCTGCCCCATGCACCGCAGCCTGGGAACTCTGGCGGTGGCGGCGGCGGAGGAGGAGGAGGAGGAGGAGGTGTGGCTTCCGCGCACTCCCCGGGGTGGGACAGGCATGCCTGTCATCCCTGCACTGGGGAGGCTGAGGCAGGAGGGTCTCTGTGGTCTGAGGCCAGCCCGCACTGCTGCGTGCCCCCCGTGGGCTTCCGGGAGAAGCCAGTGGCCCCACGGCCTGGACCCGCACAGCTCGGAGCAGCCACAGCCGGCAGTCTGCCTGCCTGCCGCATATCCGCAGGCAAATGGATAGGGAGAAAGTGCTGGCATGCTGTGGTGTACTACGCAGCCCTGAAGAAGGATAATAGATGTGGCGCTTGAACCGTGCGGCTCAGTGCGCTCAGCCCGTTGCACGGCTCCCCAGCACAAGGTTTCTCTTCTGTGAGAAGCCCTGGCGTCTGCAGAGCGCAGAGTGGAACCCCGCTGACCGGGACAGAGCCCGGGGCTGGCATGGGCGGGAGGGGAAGGGCGCAGAGTGCGGGAAGGCACAGCGAAGACGCTGATAAAATCAAGCCTGGAAGCAAGGAGCTGTGGCCCAGCCTGCTCCTGCTGACCGCGTGTTGTCAAGGGTACCGGCCGGAGGGGGATCGCCCGCAGCGTCCTGGCCCTACTAGTTTCAGGAATTTTCAGAAAACAAACTTTTGTTGTTGTTCTTGGTCTTGGTCGTGAGAGAAAGGCAGCTGGATGGAGCAGGCAGACATAGAAGTTTCTTCTGAGTTTTACACTCTGAGGCGTTGATGTAAATGCTCGGCGTGTGGTTCTGGGGAGCGTGGACCCCAGTCCCGTGGTTCTGTGGAGCGAGGACCCCCCCCAGTCCTGTGGTTCTATGGAGTGTGGACCCCCCAGTCCCGTGGTTCTGTGGAGCGTGGACCCCAGTCCCGTGGTTCTGTGGAGCGTGGACCCCCCAGTCCCGTGGTTCTGTGGAGCGTGGACCCCAGTCCCGTGGTTCTGTG